GGCTGCTGAACTTACTCCTTTAAGTTTTTGCAAGTTGAGCTGTAGTTATCAAAGAATGGAGACATTCAAAGCTAGAATTTGCTGAATCAGCCAAAGGAAGGATGCGAAGAAGTTCATTCCCTCAAATGACTAAGAGTTTTGGTGCACAAAACCAAGAGAAAATATTATTGAGTTGAATAGCTACTTCAAAGATAACCACCAAAACTAGATCCAAGTCTATAGACATTGTGTTTCTACTTAAATAATACTTCTGCGTGATCTTTGTTAATTGAGGTTTTTTACTTTTTTTTCCTTCATAAATGCGAAGTTTTAACAAAGCCACCAACCCCAACGGCCCCCCCCCCCCCCCCAACCTCCAAACAAAAAAAAACCACAACAAACCCAAAAGAAAAAAACGCACGCGCGCGCACACAAAAACACAACTAAAAACACACGTGGTATGGAGTATTCATGTGCGAGCGTAGTTTCACCACGGATATCATAAAAAAAAGTTAGAAGTCTTTGGGGCCAATATCCATTAGCTTTTAGGTTATTGGCTCTTAATTTTTGTTTAAGGCTCATCAACTCTAAATTATACTTGATTACTCCCCAGTGATTGTTATCAGAGAGAAGGTTGTAGCCCAAGATCGATCCGGTGTTGGTAGGTGCAAGTATGGTGGAAAATCCACATATGGTGATACTCGAGGATTGTTAGGGGGGAGTGGGCAACATAGAAGTTGTTAATATAGATAACGGTATAGTTAACATATGGCATACGTGTTCTGCATATATTGGAGGATTCCCGAATGATTGATGGCCATGTGGCCAGTTCACGATTATCAATGTTCTACTCACAATGAATAAGGTTTAAAATAGAAGTTGGAGCCAATATCTAGTAGCTATAGCTTTCAGATTAAATTTGGTCCCTAGCCTTTAGTTAAGACCCACATTAACTCTATGTTGGGCCTAATTACTTGCCAAAACATAGTTCTCTATATTCTCATACACCCTAAAAATACAAAGTTTTCTTGCGTTTAAACCTAAAGTATAAAATGTAAAGTGTATATGTACATAAAATAGGGTCTATAGCTACATACAATAGAGTGTATAACGACATATACTATATGCCATATAACACATACTGTAGATTGTATAGTTAGAATATTCCAATTTGGAGAGTGGAATTTAAAGATTTGCTCCAACCCACACTCTCTAAATATTTTTTTTATTTTTTGTCAAAAAGATCCTTATAAATTAATAATGTTGGATATAGTTTATATTAATAGTTTTATTTTTAATAATTTATTTGGACAAAAAATAATAACATTAAAATGGTGTCGACGAGAGCTTTAAAATGAAGCCAATATTAATAATATAATACAACATACTAAAAAAATAAAATCTGAAATAACAGTGAGAAAGCATACATCGATAGAACAAGGAAGCAAACATAAACCTCTAATACAACATACCATATGTCGCAAACATAAACCTCAAACATAAAATATGATAACAGACAATTAAAATTTAGGTAAGTCATTATCGTTATAACTACCGGTTCAATCCCGATCTCTCAATGAACCGCCCATATTCATTTCTTCCTACAGAACCAGCTTCTCCTGCAAACTGAGAAAATCCTCCTTGATCTCCAGAGGGAAATCCATATTCGTTTTCTCCTCCTACAGCTCCCATAAGAAGCTCAGAAAATCCTTTTGGCCCTCTGGAGGAAAATTCATAGTCGAATGATGGAGCTCTATATTCCTTTCTATTAATAATTTCTTGGGACAAGCTAAGACTACACGACATAATGACTGCTTGTATTATACTACATAACATGACTGTGGAGGATGAACGCAATGTGAAAGCAAAGATTATTGTTCACGACGAATCTTCAAGACCTCAAGAGATGGAGATTGATGATAGCGAATAATTCCAACGATTCCTTGATCGACATAGGAAGATTCAAGATAGGAAAGCTCATTTTATGCTTCGGAACGTGCTAATTGAGCATTTATGGCAGAGGCACGACAACGAAGGAATGTAATTTAAATATTATAATTTATGCTTGTATTTTATTATGGGGCAAGTTAAATAGATCCCCATATTTAAATTTTCATGTCTGATACTTATTAATTTAATTTAAAAAAATAATTTTATAATAATACTAAAATAAATTAATTTTAGTTTCATTTTGAAGATCTCAACGAGACCTTTCCAAATATATAATTATTTCAAAAATTAGATTACTAATTTTTTAACTATATTTATTTAAAATTAAACATCTAATTTAAATTACTAAGAATGATGGCAAAGTGATAATTTTCAAGAAATTATATAGTTGAAAATGACAAAGTTGTAAATAATAAAAGTTTGAATAGTGATTTGGAGAGTCTCTCCAAATTCTAGCTTTTGGAGAGTGAACCATCTCCAAATTTGGAGATCTTCAAATTTGGAGAGTGATTGGAGAGGATTCACTCTCCAAATTTGGAGGGATGAAGATTATGCCGAGTGATTGGAGATGCTCTAAAGGGGGTGAGATTAGTGCTTTTTGGGTATATTTCACAAAAACACCCAACACCAAAACTTAATTTCTGACTTGTAGAAGGCTAGCTGAAATGTCTCAAAAAGGAAAATGAAAATAAAAGTACTAAGCTATATGAAGAGATGAAGAGACGTGACAATTATCTTGATTTTGAATTAGTTTTAGGGATAACTTTGTGTACTGTAATCTTGTTGCGAAAGCTGCAACTGTAGTTGCATGTAATTGAGTCATCTAGCCATCACACCATTAATAATAAATAAATGCAGTTGCAACTACTATAAGGAAAAAACATTCCACGTAGACGACTTTACTTTTGAATTGTAAAAGAGATCCAATTTGCAAGTTTAATTCAACCAACTCGATGGGAACTACAACCTTGAAACTGCGTGGACAACCATGGACATGGAACTAAGACTCATAATCCAAATTATATTTATGTAATCTATCCTCTATTATGTTTTGAGAAAAATCTCTCCACCATTGCTATTGCTTAAATAGAAAGTAGATTATGTATAGGTAACACTAGTATAAAATCGTGTATCCTAGATGGAATATTCTAGACGGAAAATTTTCGGTCTAGTTTGTATTAAACTAGACGAAAAATTTCCGTCTAGAATATTCCGTCTAGAATAAATTATTCTAGACGGAAATTTCCATCTAGAATAGTATCCTAGACGGTTCTTGTATTTTTTTTTTTTTTTTAATATAATCAGGTATCCCAGCCCTCCTCTCCTCCTCCTCGGCCCTCCACCTTCTCCCCGATCCCCTCAGCCCTCCACTCCTCCGCACTCGACCCCTCCACCTCCCCCTCAGCCCTCCACTCCTCCACCCTCTACACCCTCTCCTCTCCCTTTCCGGAGACCTCACCCTCTCCTCCCCCTTCTACTTCTCCTTCCTCGATCTCAGCCCTCCACTCCTCCGCCCTCGACCCCTCCACCTTCTCCCCGTTCCCCTTCTCCCTCTCACCCGAAACCCTAACCCTAACCCTGACCCTGCTCTATTGGTGGACCGCTTGCTCACTGAATCTACACTTGAAGCCACTATTGAGAGCAGAAAAGGGGCACAGAGCTCGCCGGGTTCTGAGTCGTCGACTGTCCCCATTGATGAATTTAGTTCAGAGAAGAAGTTTGGGAAGTTGGTGGAGTGTAGGATTTGTTAAGAAGAAGATGAAGCGTCGAACATGGAGGTCCCTTGTTCTTGCTGTGGCAGCTTGGAGGTAAATTTCGAAGTTATAATAACTGTTTTCGAAAAGTATTTTTTCCCCCTTGTGTTTGATTGAGTGAGCTAGTTGGTAAAAAAAAATGACTTGAGATTATGATCGGGTATTGGAACAGAACGGCTTATTAGAGTTTGGGACGAAAGAAGATCAGCCTTTTTAGCTAGCCAATGAAACACCACTAGTTCAACAATATCCGTCTATCATTTAACGGATGATTTTGATTTTGAAGTGAAATTAGTTGACAGCAAACCAGACTAAACATGCAATTGTTATACTTTAATATTTGCATTTGATAATCCTTCCTAGTTTTGTGATGCTCCAATCTTAATACTTTAATATTTGCATAATTATGGATGATGATGAATGAAGGAGAATTAGTTTGAAATAATACTTTAATAAATATCTTTGCTTATTATGGATGATGATGAAGAAGGAGAATTATTTCAAACTCAGAGCCCAACACTCCATTTCCAGGTTAATGGTCTCGTTTATGTCTCTTTTTAATCTTCTGTTTCACTCAAAGATATCCCGTTAATAATGCAGGTAAATGTTTCAATAGATATCCCGTTAATAATTCATCTCAGTTTAATAATTTGCCTCATTTATGTCCAAGTTAACTTGTCAAATACCTATTGAGTTCTTAGTAGTTACAATTGATTATTCTTAACTTTGGCAAATTGTTGTGATGTTTTCATTTATCTTCTTTCTATTCCTCCAAGTCACTTGACTGTAGTAAGTAATAACTTGAATTATTCTAAATCTTTAGCAAGTAGTAACTCCAACTAATTTAAAATGTAGCAAATCGTAACTTCTTTCTTTCACTTTGAACTATCAGTAAGTCTTGAGTATTGTCCTTTATTACATGAAACTGTATTATTGATGCTTTAGGTGTTTGATTTATCCATGTGAACTTTATGACTGCATACTTAAAACATGCTTAGTACCATATGAAATTTGATGCAAGTAAATACAGATACATCTAAATTCTAGTTCAATGAAGGTCTTCAATTACCTAATTGCATCATTTCCTTCGTGTAAAGTTTACTACTGAAAAGAATGTATATGAAATTCGTTGTAGAAATAAAAGTAGGTTCTTGAGTCATTGTGCTTAATATTGATTTTGATGAGTTAACAGGAACTACATGGAGAAAATAAAGTCTTCCATGTATTACCCTTCTCACTACTTTGATGCGGATCAGGAGATCCATTCAAGTGAGTTGAAATTCTCTGAATCTTAATGTTTAACTCATACGATATTATTTTAGTTTAGGTTAAAGAATAAGTTGCTATTATTTTCACTAAATTACATTTATGAAAATGTTTTACTTGCTTCCCCTAGTTATTTGCCTATTTGTTTGAATATATTTTGATGCGTATGGATCATCAAAGCACAAGTATTGTGTGAGCATTATCAATGTGTACTTCTTTGTCTCTTGTAAACATGCAATTAAAATTAGGATTGCAAGGTGCATGGTAAAAATCCAATAGTACACAGAGATTCAAATTATGCACATGACCTGAATCACGGCTTCATGTCTTGGAAAGATTCAGTATCATGTACATGTGAGCCTTATCGTATATACGATGTTGTTTTTATTGTTTGCTTCGGAATTGTATCATGTCCAATGTGAGCCTTATAGTATATATGATATGGTTCTTATTGTCTGCTTCTGAATTTGGTAACCCCACAGTGGACATTTCAATCAACTCTAATTTCACTCCATTTGAGAGCTAATACTAACACAAATATAAAATTATCTATGTTTCCTTAACAAACTCTCAAACATGTTATTCCATTTTCTCAAAGATAGCAAAAATCCAGATCCTTCCAAATGAGGTAAGGGGGCCTATTTATAGGCAAATGGGGGCTTGGGGCGTCTGCACAGATCTAGGACACCCCAGGGATGTCTGCACAGATCTGAGACACCCTTGGGGTGTCTCCAAAAATCCGAGACACCCCTAGGGTGTCTCGGATTATTCCATTTTCTCAAAGATAGATTGCTTAGCAATGACATCAAGGTTGACGTCAAACACCTCATTTCATCCCTGCGTCGATCTCTTCCTTTATGTCGATTAGAATTCAATTCCAATTGCTTCGCAGCTATTATTTCATTCTTTTTTATCTGTCTTTGGCCCTTAGCGACATTTTTTTTTCTCTCGAGTAGTTATCAAGAATAAAAAAAAATTCGCCAAATATTTCACATGTTTTAGTTTGCTTGACCTCTGAAATTTATATTCTAGGATATTTACTCGTAATAAATCAATTTTTGCAGGTGAACGAAGCGCATGTGGGCCTCGTGATGGAAGCACTTTCACATAGAAAGGGAAGTGAGAGAGTAGAGCAGGCATTTTGAAAGGAGAGAGGGGGCAATTGCTTCCATATGTAACAAGTTGGGCCATTTGTAATTTTATTGATTTATTTATTGTCAAATGTTAGAGTGTAATTGTTTAAGGTAGTTGGAGTCTTTGTAATGCTAAATTAATGTACTTTATCTTGGTATAACGTTCATTTTGTTAATAAATATTATTAGATTAGTTCATCTTGGTATAATCTTACTTGCAGAATTGATCATATTTTTTTCTAGATGTAATGAAATAAGCTCAAGTATTTCCCTATAAGCATTTTTTGCTTAATTCTTCAATGCACAAAGTAGATTTCTAAGCAAAGCAAAAAAAAACTGTAGCATAGCATCCTAGACGGAAATTCCGTCTAGGATGCTAAAATTCCGTCTAGAATGTCTATTTTTTTTAAAAATAATTAAAAAACCTCCTAGACGGAATTTCCGTCTAGGATGAGTATCCTAGACGGAAATTTCCGTCTAGGATACCCTTCCTAGACCGAAACTTTTTCCGTCTAGGATGTAGTATTCTAGACGAAAATTCTGTCTAGAATAATCCGTCTAGGATGTATTCTAGACGGTTTTGAATTCCGTCTAAAATAATCCGTCTAGGTTGTATTCTAGACAGAATTTCCGTCTAGAATACTACATTTTAGACGGAAACTGTTTGTGGAAAATTTGATGTAAAAAGACAATGAAAGAAAAATTAAATTGTATTCTCTCAAAATCGATTACAATTTGGATTCCGATTACAAAAGAGAGGAGAATGAATTTGATTCTCCCCTTTGTTTAAGACTGGGTTCTTCTTGGTAGCGATGGAGTGCATCCTTCGAATGCTCACATCGAATTTGCTCTCCGTTGACGATCCGACCGTACTATCTCACGAGAACGATTGATTTGTTTGATGAATTCGGTTTAGAACTCTTAACGAGTGTAAAGAACTTAGAACGAGTTGAAAACTCTGAAAAGAGTTGTTGAGGACCGAATAATTGATTAGTGCAATTAACTCACGTTGCAAGTTTAATTACGAACTCTTAAACGAGTTTCAGAACTCAGAGCGAGTTGAAACTCTGTAACAGAGTTGTTAGAACCGAAGATTCGGTTGATAGCCAAGTTGATTTGCTGTTGATGAAGGGATCCCCTCAGATTCAATTTGCTAATTACTGAGTAGTTTGTTGATCTCCAGAGAAATCTCCTCCTTCGTGCGGTTTAGCTGCCGAGATCTGCTAACCTTAAACGGTTTTAATGCCAGCACACGTCAACCCCTTACTCAGTTGAGTAAGTCGGTTATTTATAGGGGGATTAGGGGTATAACTAACCCCTAAATCCGCTCCTAAGTGGGCGAAAATCCCTCAGGACGTGGGATAACGATTTTGAGGCCGTTCGTCTTATGTTTGAACAAGTCAAACGCCTAATTTAGTGTTCTGGGCCTTAACTCTGCATCTAAGGCCTGAGACGCAGAGTTAAACCTTTGTCAAAGGTTTGAAACGCACAGGCCGCATGCGTTCTGGAATTGGAGACGCACAGGTCGCTTGTGCGTTGAAATTCAACTCTACATCAAGAGTTTGGGACGCATGGTTGAGTTTGTTGAAGAACGCACGTTATGTGTGCGTTTGTGCTTTAACTCTGCGTTACAGAGTTAGATGTCTGCTGGAGAACGCACAGGTTGTGTACGGTTTTGAATTTGAGAAACGCAGAAGCGGGAACAACCTCTGCGTTTCGAGTTTAGAACACAGCAACGACCTCTGCGTTTAGAGTTTGGAACGCAGCCACGACCTCTGCATTTTGAATCTGGAACGCAGCTACGACATCTGTGTTTCGAGTTTAGAACGCAGCAACGACCTTTGCGTTTCGAGTTTGGAACGCAGCAACGACCTCTGCGTGTTGAATCTGGAATGCAGCTACGACCTCTGAGTTTTGAGTCTTGGATGCAGAGGTGAGCCTTAGGTGGGCTCGGCGAGCTTCAGGCTGAGTCTGATGTTCTGACGAAGTCCAGTCTTGCAGACGGACTTCAGAACATAACTTGCTGCGAAGAACAGGTCCTATCTTTCAAACCGTAAGTCGGAATTGGACGAATTATATATGAAAATCGGCTATCTCGACGAGACGAAACCGACCAAACCTACCCCCATAGGGTTCGGTTTGCTCCGTCAGTTTTGCCAAATTCCTTACGGTTTGAGAGATATTTGCATTTTAATATGAAGAGACCGTCAATTTGTAGTCTCTCTTGCTAGAGCTTTGCACAGATCGTCATCTTGTAATCTTCATCTTGGTTCCTTGAGAATATGAGAGTCGTCAGATTGTAACTCCCGATGTTGATTATGAAGGCTGCTGAATTAGAGCTTGAGAATATGAGAGTCGTCAGATTGTAACTCCCGATGTTGATTATGAAGGCTGCTGAATTAGAGCTTTTATTAGTTGTTGTGAAGGTCGTCAGATTGTAACCTTCTACGATCTACGTGAAAGTCTTCAAATTATGGCCTTCTGGAAGTCGTCAAATTGTAACTTCCATCATCGGTATTTGATGGGGGATAAGCTATCTATTGTGATTTTTAGACAGCCTACAGAACCCCCTCCAAAGTTTTCGAAAGTTCACAGTTGACTGGGACGAATTTTTGAAATACTTTGGATCTCAACTCTGATCTTGGCGCTTTGACTTAAGACATGAAAGCGGCTACCGTGCATTTTTGACTAAGTCTTTGAGACTTGTCTTTAGCTCATCTGTTCGGTTCACATCCATTAAGCTAATGGACCTACGAACATGCATAGGATTTTTGGCAAACCCTCAGCCATCAACGGATTTGATAAGCCTTTACCGACTACCGTTTGAATCGGGCTAGCATGTGGATTGTCTAAATCCATTCCACATGTAACGTTGTGCTAAAAGAATGAACTCTCTTAGACTTAGCGCTATGATTTTGAATACATAGACTTTATCATTTTTACGGGAAAAGACTAACCGGCAACGCGTGTTAGGCATAGACTTATCTCTGATTAGGGATCGAGATAAAGTCCCCCATGCGTGTAAAGCATGGATTTTGGCGTTATTAATAACAACATGCTACGATATTGAATACGTAGGCTTTGCCATTATTACGGGAATAGGCTACTCGACAGCATGTGTTAGATGCAGACTTATCTCTAATTAGGGATCGAGATAAAGTCCCCCATACGTGAAAGGTATGGATTTTGGTGCTACGATGTTGAATACGTAGACTTGGTTATTTTCGCGGGAATGAACAACCCGGCAGCATGTGTTAGATGCAGGCTTATCTTTGTTTAGGGGTCGAGATAGATTCCCCCAGGCATGAATTCTGGTGTCTTTTTCACGGCGAAAGATTAACCGGCAACGCGTGTTAGGCGTAGACTTATCTCTAATTAGGGATCGAGATAAAGTCCACCATGCGTGAAGGTATGGATTTTTGGTGTCGTTTCTTCCTGTGTGGCTTGAAACACCGAAAGAAAGTTGGAAGTGCCAGAGGTATAGTATTAACTTGGCATAAATTTTCACTTTAGAGTGAAATTTAGAATTTTTTTTTTACTATCACTAGGATAATTCCAAAAAATCTTTAATCCACTGGGGATTTTATAATGAAAACTTGCTATTCTACTTGAAAAAGAATTAACAAGTTCATTGGGGGGTTTGACTGTTAGAGGTGTGATGTTAACCTAACAGTATTTTATGAACCTATCGCTCTATTGAAGAGAGTCGATAAGTTGATTTGGTCGTCAGAGGTGTGGTGTTAACTTAACGGGAATTTGTTGCTATCAGAGCAACTTTGTGGACTTATCATCCCGTTGAAGAGGATTGATAAGTGGATTTTGTCAGAGGTGTGATGTTAACGTGACAAGAGAATGTTACGATCGGAGCAACTTTGAGGACTTATCGCTCTATTGACGAGAGTCGATAAGTTGATTTTGTCAGAGGTGTAGTGTTAACGTGACAGGATTTGTGTTGCGATCATAGCAACTTTGTAGACTTATCATCCTACTGACGATGATTGATAAGTGAATTTGTCAGAGGTGTATTGTTAACGTGACAAGATTTGTGTTGCGATTGGAGCAACTTTGGGGACTTATCATCCTATTGACGATGATTGATAAGTGGGTTGTCAGAGGTATATTGTTAACGTGACAAATTGGGAGTGATGCAAACTGAATGCATACTCTGTAGGAATTATGATCGTCAGAAGTGTAATGTTAACTCGACGATGTGAAAGATTCGTTACTCTTAATCCAGTGGATTCTAAGTAATCAACCCCCAGTCTTGATTAAGACTTAGCAGGGGAATAAAAAGAGGTAGACAAGGCACATCACCTAGTGAGGCACTATCCATGAAGTCGGAATAGAGTCACATCACCAGGTAGGCCATTATCTGATGAGTTTGACTATCAGAGGTAACTATTAACGTGATAGTTTTTTGTGGACCCGCCATCCTACTTAAAGAGGATTGGCAAGAGAATCTGGAGAAAACAGACTATCAGAGGTGATCATTAACGTGATAGTTTTGTAGACATGCCATCCTATTAGAGAAGATTGGCAAGTTGATGGACTATCAGAGGTAACTGTTAACATGATAGTTTTGTGGTAGATTTTGTGGTTGACAGAGGTATTTTATTGAATATGACCACTCAGAAAATTTATTATTCATAATCCAATGGACTACAAATAAACCAACCCCCAGTCTTGAATATGTGCATGGGGAAAAAAGAGTAGACATAGCACATCGCCTAGTGAGCCATTATCTAACGAGTTTGACTATCAGAGGTAACTGTTAACGTGATAGTTGTTGGACCCGCCATCCTACTGAAGAGGATTAAGGTAGACTGTGTCATACCTGACGAACATCGGAGAGCCATGGTTTGGAACCTTTTGGCGAAGGCTTTGACGGACTCCCTCTTCTTCTGCTTAGTGGCGAGAAGGGTATGAATGGAGACTTCTGTATCCTCTTCAAAGAATCTTGATAGGAAGAGTCTCTCTAGATCTGTCCACTTTTGGATACATCCCACGGGAAGTTTCCTGAACCATTCAAAGGCAACTCCCTTGAGGGTGCCAATGAACAATCGAGCTAGTATGGCATCGTTTGATATTACATTTCCAGTCTGTGACTTGAAATGATAAATATGTTGGTTTGGTGATCTCGTGCCGTCAAAAGTTTGTAGCG